ATATGCATTAATCTGTATATCATATATTATTTTCTTATTGTCAGAACTATATACTCTGTTGTATACTTATCACATAAGTACCAATTAAACACAAAATAATAATTTATTAAAAATGTGGGAATCGTCTTAAAATGTATTTTCTTTTATTTCGTATTGATCTTATCGAAAAATACTCTCATAAGTCATAACAATCATAACTCAATCATACATGTTTTTGCTCTAATTATTATTTGTTGTACATAATCACATGAGTTTAAATATTGTGGTTTCTTTGAATACGAAGTAGTTGTTATTATTACAGGAGTATAAAAATAAAAATTCTGTCGTAGCTAAATTTAAAACGAAAAAATATTGATTTGCAAACCATATTGGAATTAAAAGTTACCAAAATGTTTAAATCTCAATCATAATATTTGAAAATGTTTAATACAATGTTCCTCGACAGCTATAACGTTACCGTAATTTAAAAAAAAATTGAGCTTGATTCCATAAATAGGCCGGCCTTACAGCCTTACCGAATCTTTTAAGATAAATTATGTACTTGTATGTAAAGATTTAATACAATTAAACATTATATGAACTAATCAAAGTGTAGCCAAAAGCATGGTTGAGATCAGATGAAATTATATTTTTGTGAATAATTTTATATACGAATGAATACTATATGAATGTATTGATTTTACAACGATGTGTGTTGTTTTATTTTTCCTTTATTTTCGTGCCTGTCATCACGATTTGGGGGCAGTAAAAGTGCTTCGTTTTCTTCATCAGCAACTTACCTTTATCAAGAAAAATTCTAGAGGAAAGTCAAGTTCAATTTTTATAACGGTTTGAAGTTGAAATGTTTACAACATTGGATACCTATTCCTCGAGAAGCGATTTTCATATTTTGATATAATTCAAAAACGAATATCTATAGATACTTACGCTTGAAAAATGAATACAAGGTTAATCATTAGTTATTATAAATATAGTATTTGGAAAATATTATCTAAGTTACATAGGCACGATTTAAAAAAAAATTATTTATTTAAACCTCAAACATAACAAAATTCATCAAAATGAAGAATATTTGCAAACAATCTAAACAAAGTGTTTCTGTTATGCATAATATAGTTTAAGTTAAATTTTTGAGAAATTAGATATTTAATCTATCAATAATAATATTAGTTATTTTTATTGTACCTAATAAAATATAATTCGTGGTTAGGTTCTTAGGACTTCTGACGTATACCTAAATATATTATGATTTTTATACGTACTCACAATTACATTTTTCATCAGAAATAAACACAGCTCACTTGCAAACCTTTCTATTAACATCGAGTGCTTATCAATCTACACATCTTAAACTTACTTTCAGTTCTTAAACTGTGGTTCGCGGCCGCTTGGAAGTCTAAAACACTCATGTCAAGGGTCAGCGGCGTCTTTACGTAAAAATAAAATATTACGTTTTTATAAGAACTTATGACGTGTATTAAAAAAAATTGTAATTATGTGTGTTGTATGTAGTAGTGGTTTCATAAACCACCAGTAAGCTATGAAAAATGTTTACAGAAAGCGTGTGTGAAAATATGTCAAAGGTAATATTTTTTCCTATATAGGTACAATCATATTTAAAAAAAATTTATTTAATATTAAAGTATTATTAATTAGGTACCACAAACTTCTTCACTATAGTTTCTAAGTTATCTGGGCATTGAGAATCGATTGAAAAGTTATAAAAACTAGTTATGTAATAGTAATATTATTATATTAAATACATTTACTATAGTTAGTTAATATAATTAAACTTCATAATGTTTTTGTATGTATAATTGAATACAACTAATACAAGATTTTGGAGCAGAATACCCGAATAGTTTTTAAAGGTTTGAGTATCTACTATCTAGTATAGTTAACTTATGAAGGGCCACGAGCGATTATCAACAAATATTTAACGATCAAATTCAAATATTCTTAAAAATTTCGTGCCCAAGTAATTAGGACAATACGAAAAAAAATCCAAATAGAAATACAGTATTAAATGCATCGTATCTGAATTACTAATAGGTATCTTCACTCGAAAACGAAAACAACAAAATCCACAAGGTCGTTACGTGCTGTATCGCTTTTTTTAAAATTCACCATAATATATACATAATATATATATTAATTCGTATTCATTCAATTCCCAGAGATAAGTTTGTTGAAATGTTGCTAATATCTATAAGATACTGGGATAAATTCTATGTACATGTAGACTAATGCTCCACCCATCACCTGGGTAATACATCCGTGTAATTGTAGATAAAAATAATCGCTAAAATGTACACTACTTTTTCTCACAAGATCGTGCGACGCCAAAATGATGTGTGAACTAGGTTGCCAATAATTTGCTCCTTAATAAATAGCCGGCACCGGGGGTCTTAAAAGCAACGGTTAATAAAAGTTTCATTAGAAAATATCCCTTTACATGGTGTTAACGAGAGCTTTTTAATTCTGTAGCTGGATTAATTTCGTGGCAAAATGATTTTATACAATCTGGAATAGTATCGCTTTAAGTTAGTTTTTAAATTAACCTTTTGTAAACTTTTAATACTAAATATTAATCATAATATTTATCTTATATCTAAAGCTTAACGTTTGTTCACAAATGGCTATATTATATCGTTTTAGTTAGTTATAAATACTATAGTGCAAAATAACTACCTAATAATATGTAACATTTTCTTTTAGTTTATCTTCTAAGTTCCCACTACCGTCGTTTGCTGAATTTCTTTGTTATTCTCAAATAATATTAATATTATTAAAAATAACAAATCACAACGAATATTTTATAATACAAATTATGTGTAAATACACTTGAACTTGGCAATGAAATAAACAAATTTTTAAACAAATGTTCACACTAATAATTTACACATTTACCCATGGTTCATTATTTCCCAAAACGGTATCTTACAACAAATTATGAGTAAATACCAAATCAATGAAAAATAATGCAATACCTAATTCAAAATCTTGTCTGTACTTTTCTTAATGTGTTAAAATCATGTTTGTACATTTCTATAAGAGTATAACAAGAGTAAAAAAAAACATGTTTTATTGTTTAATTACGTTGTATAGTGTACCACTTGTACATAATGATTTTCGACAAAAATAAACCAATACTTATTTCTGAATTTAATATTAGTATAGGTATACCTACAAACATTTTATTGTTTAATTATGGCAGTGAGAATTAAGTAGACACATTTTTTCAAAAAACGTTTAATTAATCATTAAAATAATTAAAAGTTACTCAATCACTGTAATCTAGAATAAACATTTTATATTTTATGATGTATTTTTTAATTTTCAAAGCCTCAAATATTATTATCTGTATAATAATATGTGTTACAACTTATATTGTGTAATCAAAAAATCAATGACATTATTTTTTTTAAATTTGTTCTTGTTTTTGCCAAATAAAATGTGGTATCCTTAGCATATTTTATTTGAACAACGTCACCGACCCACATTTAAAAAAAAAGTATACGTACGCCAATATAATATAATATCTGACCATTGTCTACACTTATTTTGTAGCCTCTTTTGCTTGTAGTAAATTCCTTTCTTATTAATATTAATTATACTTATTTAATAAACAAAATACAGGAGAGAATAAAGTAGAATATAGTAATATATAAATTACTATGTGTAAATCATGTCGTTAATGTAAAATGTTTACACACACATAGAAATACTAGTATTGATTTAACTCTTAACAATATTGTTAACAGTGTAGTTGTCAAATTTACAAATATTTCATTTGAATTAACACCAAGATGAGTAAATTCAAACTATATTGTTTGACTATAATTAATATTAAAATAACAGTACTGTTACATATTATTGTTTTAACTTTTTAGTATAGTTAATTTGAATTTAATTGTGTTAAAATAAAACCTTTAGGTATTCAAAATAACATTAAATGTAATTGTCTTAGCAATTATAGTTAGTTCGATTTAACTATAAAATAACATTTTTATTTTGACTGCGAGATTTGAGTTGAAATTAGCAATACGCTGTTATTATTTCAACTTCAGTAGTTTTGTTTTAATCAGGAGCTAATGTTATCAATGATTGTTGAATAGTGTTTACTTATTTTTAGCGCGGCAGAATAAAACCCTAAATTCCCGTACCAATATGTAAACAGAGTAACAGACTCGTTTGCTTTTCCTTGATTAAAAATATTATAATAGCTTTAATATTAGTACGCTATTCGCATTTCTAACCATCCTCTAGTAGAGTAAAGACTTGTATGTTATTTCAGTCAATTAGTAATAACATAGGAGTAATGATCGAGTTAGGTAGTATATAATGTATCATTATAGTGTTAATAATTAAATTTAAATTAATAGACATATGTTTTTTTTATGGTTAAAAGTATCAAATTAAAAATTATCTAGTCCTTTAAATAATAATGAATACCTAATAAAGAATTGAGTTTTTTTAAATGTATTACAATGCAATAATAATTAAGCCTATTGGTAGAATTTAAAAAATACATTAGTAGTATGTTTTGGTCGGTTCTGGGCCCCCCCGCAAATCCAGGAAATCCAGTTACCCCACCCAGCCTATAGTTATATGCTATCGCGACCGTGCTCGGCAGTGCCCGGCAGTGCCCGGTAGTGCCCTTCCCCTCCCCCTCCCCCTCCCATACATTCCCCTACAATCCTATACCGTATGTGATCATACCCCCCAATGATTGAAATATTACATAAGAATATTCTCAACCATCAGTTAAATGATATTATGAAAGTGTACAACTTTTAATTACTTTTTTAACAGTCTGTATATAGTAAACAAAACTATTAAACCTATTTCATCACAATATTTTTAGTATAAATAGAGTAGAGTGGTCTCTACAATATCATCAGTTGTAATACAATCACTTTACCGACAAGTCGTTATTCTTTATTCATACTTAAGATCATTTACACTGTTTAAAAATTCAATTTCAAGTGTTTCTAAACATGGCTGGTTCAATCATTGATAATGCAGCTATATACAAGAAAACCTTTACATATATACCAGCAACACCACCTTCGGAGCTCATCGATTCTACTAACTATACGTTAAACTTCGTGAAACGTAAGTTTATACATATTGGGATCGATCCGAGTGATATGTTCAGAGTAGCAGTGCATATAATAACTCCGTCACGATATGTTAATATTTCAACTGACTTTCTAAAACGGATATTTTCACTGATGGGTAATATCCTTTCATTTATTTTGGAGCAGCATGGGAAATATAAAAGAACCATATTTCTCGAAACAGAGAATTTCAAATTATCAAGCATGATGTATAGCGGGGAAAACACCTTAGTAATAGAGTCAAAGATACAAGATGGATGTCGAGTTCTTTTAAATCGTGTGGAACTCATACGACTTCAATACTTGGAATGGTGTATTTTTGAAACAATTATACGAAAATCAACTATTATGCAGCCAATCATTTTAAATCAATTTGAAATATTTACTGAATATCTGGATAGAGAACTTACTAAAGTGGAATCACCACCAACAACGAGTGAAGAAATGGTTATATTTATCAATAATTTACGTGATGATCATATTATTACAAACAGTCCTAAACATGATATTAATTTCATTAGTCAAATCAAAATGTATGCATTTCCACAATTAGCTGAACACTCGATACAACGGTGGAATAGGGAAAGGTCACCAAAGGTAAATTGAAAATATATTTATATCACCTACATAAATATATAATATATCTATTATTTTAGTTATTTGATGCGACATTGATTTCATCAACCTCACCAAGTTTTTCACCATCAAACAATATCATGATAGGGGATGCATTCGAGGTGCAAAAAGAGATAGAAGATATTTCTAAACTAAAGGTAATTTATAAAACAATAATAATAAATACATAATTTATATATAAATATACTTTTTTCAGTCATATGATACAATTGAAAGAGTACTACAGTCATTCGATGTTAACGATGGTCCCGATTTTTTCAACATACAACCCACACTTCCTCAAAATGAAACAACGTATGCACACTTCCCAAGACCATTATATGGAATGAAAAGAGCAAACTCTTTCTAACAATTGTAATTAATTAATAATTTATGTGAAATAAAAATATATGATATATTATACATGTATTCATTTATTAAAATAATATTAAGTTTTACAATCGATATTTACAATGTTCTTACTTCACCATTAAATGGATTATAAGTTATAATTTGATCATGTAATATTAAACAATATGCTGAAGTAGATGCGGGAAACGCTTCTTCGGTTTCCATCTCAATTCTTAGATCGACAGTCGAAGTTTTTACGTTATCATTTTGTCTGCTCATATCAACAACTATAATCGGTGAAAGTTTTTTGAAATCTGATCTAGTCAATAGAGGTGTGACATTATCACGAGCGTAGTAGGATTTCTGGAACTCGGCATATGCATGGTATAATGTAGCCATCTTGTTCTTGGTAAAGTCACTTTGGAAATCTTCGTAGGGGAATACTTCGGAATTTAAATAAACCTTCACATTTTTTATTTTACAGTGGTCAAAACATGACATCGGTTTACTCATACTGTTTTTCCTATCAGTCTGAAAACCGATTATAGCATATCGCGGTTTTTCCAATTTGTTAGACGTTTTTACTTTCCATGAATGCGAAGTGTTTTGAGGTAGAAATGGGTATTCACACAACTCCCACGATCTGAACGCACATTTTAGAGGTTTTTGATGGTTTACCACTTTCAACAGTTGTATTTTTTCTTTATCACTAACCTTGACTATAGGCATTCTCCACAATATTTTCGAGATATTTATTTTAACGTCTTTTAGCTTAGGTGCGTCAGCGACAACTTCATTATTTTTATACTGTTTAATCGCATTTATATCCAGCGATGCTCTATTTAATATCAGTTGTTGATTACAGTTTATTAAAATACGTTTATAGTCTTCGCAAAACCCAAACAAATCTTTGAGATTGATACATCCGTTAAACACTCCACTCTCGATAAAATCTTTATTAACATTTTTAATATCATCATCCCAAGCAGCGTTATAGTGTGAAACAATATCCGATTTATTATACGAGCAATATCCTTTCAATGTTGAAGTTATACCGGGGTTGATGAGTTTCTGAATTTGAATCCCATTCAGTTCGTATTTCATTTCAGAGAAAAGAAATGCTAACCCATTGTTTATAAATCGAATGTCATCTGTCATGTCAATAGGTTTGGTTACTGTACCCTCAATGTAGATATAACTTTCACAGGGTAGAGTATATGACTCTGTGTTGTGTAAAGCAATACGCACTTCATCGTTATTGGATAGGGCAGATGTTGAATAAGGGAGAAAAGAATGATAATCAATTTGAGTTATCCTACAATCATCAACATATCCACCTGATACGTCTAAATACATATCATCCATATTAAATAGCGTTTAGTGATTTTAGAAAAGCTAAATTTTCAACTGTTAGACTACCTCCCACTTTATAGTATTTCAAATATTTTTTCCTCGGAGTTGTTGACTTGATAATATCACTAACACGACTAGCGGGTTTTTCATATACCCGACTATTTATATTATAAAACTTTAACCCATTGTATCACAAGTCTTTGATTAACAATCGTATTGATACCGGCTCTCCACGTAAATCGATTAACTCGTTATCCTGATTTTTTAATATTATCTCTGCATGCGTTATAGATGAACAATTGATAGAATAAAAAACCAAATGTGTTGGAATCTCTATCACTTTATAGCCCGGAGGTACATTTGGATAAAACTCATGTATTGTATGGCACTGCTTGCCGTTGTTGAATGAACCCATGACTAAGTTTGATTCGATATATATACAGTTTGTCTTAGTAATATCACAGAATAGATTAAATCAGAAGGGACACTACAAAATGTAAACAAAACGCGGTGGCCATGTTGGCGTTGGCTACTTTATCAATTAAGTGTTATCAGTTAAACAACTGGTATCATAATTCACGATTTAAGGTTAGTAAAAAACAAACAGCAAGAGCATTTTTTACACGTTTTTAGTGCGTACTGCCTTTTAACTGTTCAATTGTGTTCTGTGCCTTTGAAAATAATATTGTGCATTTTATTATATTTCTACATATTATAACAATGTCTATTCGAAAGAGTGGTTATTCGTTTAAATGTATTGTGAAATCGTGCGGAGAAATGAAAACTCAAAAAGAATCAGTTAGTTTTTTTTCTTTTCCCAAAGATCCTGCTCGGTAAGTATTTTATATTATAATTTATAATGATATTAATTATCAAACAATTCAATGGTACTTGTTAAATGTATAACATAATATTACACAGTTGTCAGTTGCACAATATACCAAATGTTTATTAAAGTAAGTCTAGTAAACAATGCAGTGTGCTTATAATATGTAACAAGGACCAAGTCAATTGTGTTTTGTAGTTTAAATAAACTATTTTTTTTTACACTTTTAGGTGTGAAATCTGGTTAGAACGCTGTAAACTGCCAGCTGATATTCTATCCAAAAAAAATATCAAACTATGTGGAAAACATTTTGAGAAAAATATGTTTTTAAATTTTTTGGAGAACAGGTTAAAACCAGATGCTATACCTACACTATTTCCAGGTATGTAAAAACTAATTTGACATTTAGCAGCAATAATTTTCTAATCGCCTTATATTTTTTTTTTATATTCAGACAAAAAAGATAGTTGTGATACAAGTACATCTTTGCAGTTATCATCTAGTGATAAAGTTGAAATCTGTACCACTTTAACCAAAACTGTGTCTTGTGGCTCAAATAGTCCACTAAAAATGATTGATGATCCTAGTAAATATACTACTGAAACATATAGTAGCAATGAAGTATTGGCTCTTCCATTACCTGGTTCTCCTGGTAAGTTCATGTGATTTATGTAGAGATTAATTTATAATTATTAATATAATATTCTTAAATTTTGTTTAGGAGTACATGATAGCGCCGAGTACAGTATGTCTTCTGGGACATCTTCATCAATTACTAGTGAAAAATCTAGATACTTAGATTCTCCTGTGGATTTCATAATTCCTAGTAAGCTTTAATTAAACAATTTTACTCTTCTGTATATTTATAATTTACTGTGCGTTTACTAAAGTTTTATAAATATCATTTAGGTTCTTCAAAAAGTTGTCAAACCCTAAAAGCTTTGTCTGAAAAAACACCCAGAAAAGTTTTGTTAAGGCAACAATTGAAGACTGAGAAAGAAGCTCGTTTGAAAGCTGAAAAAACCATTTTGGGCTTGAGCCATCAGTTGACTGAATTCAATACTGTTGACAATTTTCTCTCCCTGTGTGAGCAACATTTGTCACCTAGTGTACTAACCATTGTCAAATCGCATATGATGTGCAAAACAAGAAACCCTCATGGATACAGGTACACAAATGATATGAAACAATTAGCATTAACCATATACTTCTTAGGCCCATCTGTGTATAGATTTTTAAAAAGTACACTAAGTCTACCTTCAGTTCGGACTTTAAGAAGAGTTACTTCAAAATATGATTTGATTCCTGGATTAAATGATTTTTTATTTGAATTTGTCAAATTCAAAATTTCTAATTTTAAAACAGAAGCTCTTGACTGCATCTTATGTGCTGATGAAATGTCATTAAAAACACATTTGTACTATTCACTTCCTAAAGATGAAATTATAGGATTTCATCAGACAAATCTCACTAAAACTTATGAGGCAGCAAAGTATGCGTTAGTTTTAATGATAAGGGGAATTAATGTATCGTGGAAGCAGCCAATAGCTTACTTTTTTGTGTCGGGAAGCTGCCGTAACCTAGATTTAAGTGATATTATAATGTCTACCATAAAAAAATAATTGAATATTTCTTTAAATGTCAAAACGTTTGTCACTGACCAAGGCTCAAATTTTGTTAGCTTCAGTAAAAGTGTTTATGTAAGCCCGCAGCGCCCTTATTTTACAGTTAATGGCAAAGAAATTGTGTATTTGTTTGATCCACCACATTTGTTAAAGTCAACACGTAACATGTTTTTTAAACATAATTTTAGTATTGATGATGAACTTACTGACAACAAGTATATCATACAATTTTATAATGAAGACAGCAAACTTAATTTAAGATTAGCACCTAAGCTTACTCATGCTCACATAAATCCAGGACCATTCGAAAAAATGCGAGTCTATTTGGCAGCCCAAGTTTTTAGTGAATCTGTAGCTGCTGGAATGAATACTCAATTAGAATTGGGTAAATTACCATTAGAGTCAAAATGTACGATTGATGTCATAGATAAAATGGATAAACTATTTGATATTTTTAATTCATGCAAAGTGCCAAATAGCAAATCATTCAGGAGACCTTTTAAAAATACATCAATACAAATGGAACATCTTTCTATGATGATTTCATTTTTTAAAAAATTAAAAGTTATTTCGAAGATAAGTGGTACAGATGTGACTAGCAGAATGAATTTTATAAATGGTTGGCTAATATCCATTAATGGGTTATTAAAGTTGTGGGTTTCTCTTTGTGAATCAACGACGCATCCCAGTGATTATGTATTATTTACCAACCGTTTGAACCAGGATTGTTTAGAAAATTTATTTGGTATGTTTCGTAATAAGAATGGAAACAATCGAAATCCTACTCCTGTTCAATTTTATATAGCTTTTCGGAATTTGTTTTGCTTAAACTATTTTCAATATTCACCTAATGCCAACTGTATAAAAGATCTTGATGACATTTTGTGTCAAATGAATTCTTCAGAAGTTGGGATTACTAATGTTGTGTTGCCAGAACCTTCACCAAGAGGTACATACTTCAATTTTAAAATTGGCACTGTTGACTATAGACACTTAAATTTACCTGAAAAAAATGCCTTACATTATGTTTGCGGTTATTTGTATAGCAAGTGTTTAGGTCAACATACCTGTGATTTATGTGTAGATTATGGTAGGTACCAAACAAATTTAGATCAAGCATTTTTATTGTGCTATTTTAAAGCTTACACCAATACTGCACAGACAACTTATGGTAACCTTCAAATGCCTAATGATGATTTTTATCAATTCATATTTGAACTAGAAAATATATTTGTTCAACGTTTTCCTTTATTAGCAGTTGGTAAAGGAATATCTTCTAATTTAAATGAATTTTTATGTAATGTACCTTTTAAGCACCCATGTCTAAATTTTGATTATGTATATTTAATTAAGCTATTTGTAAGGTTTAGAATTTTTTCCTCTGTTAAATTTTTAAATAGAGAATTAGTGTCAGAACGTCAATTTAAAAATAGAAAACTGACAATACTAAAACATTTATAATTAATCATGTCATAATGTAAAATTCATCATATTCTAGACAAATATTGTTTAATTAGTATTTATTATTGTTGTTTTTTTTTTGTTTTTTTTTATTTGTACAATTTAGTTTATAAGTACTTGTTTACTTGCCTAATTTTTAATAATTTAAAAAATGTAATTATAATTAAAAAATTGTCTTAGTCTAATTTGAGATTACATGTTGTCTAATATTTTAAAAATAATGACTTATTTAATGTTATAATTTTATAGGGACTTTAGACACCAGGATCCTGAATACCTGAAAATCAAATAAAGATACAAATTACAATTAACTATGTCAAAAATATAAGATAGGAATCTATCTAAGACACTGTACATTATTGGCAGTGAAGTGATCTCATTAGTATCATTTAATTATTTTAATATGGCTAGTATATTGGTCATGTATATTAATTTATGTTTTATTTTTCAGAAATATTGCACAGTTACTTCTGCTTCTCCAGCTTTGCCTTTATTCCATGCAAGTGGGGTCAACTACTCTTATATTTGCTCAACATGCCATCATATTCCTGTAATAACCAAGCTTTTTTATCTTTTTCCTTCAAATTTGAGCACCTGTCATGACTTTCATTATTTCTTCATACCTCAAAATGCCTTCTCAATCTATCCTCTAAGTCTGCCTTCAAACACTCAAGTGCTATTAGCTTTTAAAACTACATCAGCTGCATTTAAGCTTAAATATAAAATATATTTTTGATATAATAAAATGTGTATTTTTTTCACCGTGTAAGTTGATACTTCCCTAATTGTGTATTTGATCTATACTAATCTTTTACGGTTACTAAAATTAAAATTATAAGCAAGTACCTAGAGATTGACTACTCATTGGATCTATACATTTTTGGAAAAATGTTGTAATAAATATTTTGTTTTTCTGGTATGGCGACACTGATTGACCAACGCCAACATGGCCGCCGCGTTTTTGGGTATTGGGTATCTTTACCGTGTTAATTTTTATCAGTGTCCAGGCCCTGGTAATATTTACCAACTTATCCGATTGATGTTTAACATTAGCATCATATATACGTTTTTCAAAACCTAACAGCTCACCTATATTATTATTTATTAGCCATAGATAAATCTATAGATTCACTGCATAACATTTCACATTTTAACGTATTATTATTCCCCTTTAACTCGAAAGATATCTTAGAATCAGTTAGCAAATATTTTATCACCGCCTCGATTTCACTCAATTCATAAGAGCCTGTGGGTAATGAGTAAACTTTACGGGTTGTATGGTCCATATCATTTTTATTTATAAAACCTATTTGATCACACTTACTATTTATATTAGGAATAGAATTATTTGTCTGAAAACCTAGCAAACAGATCTTTGCGTTTTTACTGACTTCTATCGGTGGGAAAAAGTCACAGGATAATTCACTAGAATTACCGTTTAATGTTATAGTGTACATGATAAAAAACGTAGGCATAAATGACCGCAGTTTGTTGTATTGTATTTCTGATGTCTATCGTAATTATATTCGATATCACAATCGTTGAAATATTTCTGTAATTCTAGCGGTGGGGGTAAATTTCCAAAGCTATCGTAATATTCAACTTGTTTACCGATTTTTTTATACGCTACCCAATGCGTTCCTCCACCCTTCTCATCATCAAGATTAACTATAGCCGACTCACGATGTTTATAATGTAGAGGCAACTTGTCTCTGGAAAATACTCCAATGAAATGAGGTATTTTCAATAAGTCGATGTATTTTATAATCTCATAATCATACAATGCTCTATCGGGTAACGTATCAATTAGTTTTTTGAAGCTTTCTTTGACTTCCCTACCACTGACCCACCTTTATACGGTGTAAGGTATAAACCTTTACCTTTTACGATTTTATAAGAACCCCCCCTGTACGGTGCGAGATATAAACCCTTGCCTAAATGAATAGGAGTGTTTTTATTAGATTTTAAATCATTCATGACTTTTACTATATTCCCAATACCACCAGTAAGTGCACCTAATGCGGATAAACCTGCAAATATAGGTATTAAAGGTAAAACACCCCCCTTTTTAGGAATGGGTATAATTCTAGGAGTTTTAGTTTTCCTAGTTTTCGATTTTTTAGCCGCTGTCAGACAAGTTTTTATTAATTTAGATATATTCTTTTCTTTAAGTTTATTTTTGATCGAGTTTTTAGCAGCTGCAACCATTTGTTTAAATCCACAACCTGCCCCCATTTTACGTTTGACTTTCATAGCTGTAGTAACCAACCAGGATGCCGCTTTCTCCTTAATACCACTGTTTTTAGATTTAAACACCTCCCAAGCTTGATTTTCCAATATTTCATCGGCCTTGTGTCTATCGGATAGTGAGTTACTTCTATCATAGGCGATATCATGAGCTCTAGCCAACTCGTCCAGGCTGTTTACACCTCGATCACCGCGTGTTAATCTTTCTTTTAATTTAGTTCCAGGACCGGTAAATCTGAAAATAATTATATGTTAAATTAGGATTGGTCTAATAATATAGTATAGTGACTTACCTATACCCGGGTAAATGTAATTCTACAGGTAAATGGTTTATTAATGAGTTAACAAGACCGGAACCTTTATTGTTGTTTCGTTTACGAACACGAGACATCGTGTGACGCTATCATAGACAATACATCTGTATTTATAGAGAGCAAATGTAATTGAAAAAATGCGTTTTATCGAAAAAGAGAAAAAACTTCGAATTTATAACATCGATACCCCTGATACAATACAATTTAGACATGGTGATCTATTCCCGAATACGATACGCTCTCTAGTATTGGGGAGTTCAGGCTGTGGTAAAACAAATTTGATATACTTTTTACTAGTCGATGAAAACGGGCTCCGATTTGAAAACGTTTACATATACTCTAAAACCCTAGAACAACCGAAATATAAATTACTGAAACGTATAATTGATGGTATAGAGGGGGTTGACATTTTTACATTTTTCGAGAACGATAAAGTCATCACACCTGAAAAAGTATTACCGAACTCTATATTTATTATGGATGATGTCATCGGAGAACAGCAACGTTTCAATCGTACGCTAAAAGAAAAAATGTTTAGAGAGTTTACTGCGCGAGGCTCTCACGAATGGTTTTCTATTTTACCGAGGTTGCTTCAAGAATATAATAATTCAAAACACAGAACTATTGGGATGACACCGGTACAAGCAGATGCCAACCCACTTAAAGTGGAAATAAAGCAACGTGAAATTAATAATGTAAAAATTAAATTCAAAGTTGGTGATAACGTGAGGATTAGCACCCAAAAAGGGGTGTTTACAAAAGGTTATTTACCAAACTGGTCTACGGAAATATTTGAAATTATCAAAATAAATAAAACATTACCCATTACTTATCAGCTGCAAGATTATACGGGGAAACCCATTGCTGGATGTTTTTATTCCGAGGAAATACATAAGACTAATCATCGAAATGAATATTTAATCGAGAAAATTATACGTAGAAAGGGCGGCGATCAAGTGTTTGTCAAGTGGTTGGGATTTGATGCGTCACATAATAGCTGGTTAAAAGCTAGTGAGCTCAAACTTTGAAAACTCATTTCAGTAGTATAACACAATTGGCTTGGACAACATGTTTATCGATTATGGATATTTTCAATAACTCACTCGATGGACGTAGAAAAAATACTATTTCACACATTCATTCGAGTAATAAAACAATTTTATATGAAGTAAAAGTACTAAATGCAGAAATAGATGGGTTGAAAAGTAATATTATAGATATCGAAGTGAAATTAAAATCAAGAGAAAATGATATACATGGATGTAATAAGTCTTTATTAAACCTCGAGACCCGTGTTTCAGAACTATTTAATAAGTATGCGGAAACTAGTACAATTATTTCTCTAACTCGACATGATGTCGATCGTTTAAATGATAAAGTAGATTATATAACCGGAGAATTTTACGAAAATTCCTTGATAAATCACGGAGCATATATTTCAGACTTACATACACGTGTGAAAAATATTGAAGATAGTTATATAAAGAAAAATTAATTGTTTACACTCGATGACCTTTCATCTACACACGCATAAAAGTGGGTTACAATAAGCATTACTCATTTCAGTAGTATAATACAAATAATACAATTCGTTCGGGTAACATGTATATTGGTTATGGATATTTTCAATAATTCACTCGACGGACGTAGAAAAAATACTATTTCACACATTCAATCGAGTAATAAAACGATTCTATACGATACAAAGCTACTACAGTCGGAAATAGGTACTCTGAAAGGTATTATCACAGACCTACAATTAAAGATAGCATCGGTGGAAGGTGATATACGGCAAAGTACAATATCTTTATTGGAAACGGAAAATCGCATCAGAAAACCTTTATCGGATCTAGCGTCGTTTGTGTTGGTCCTGGAAAAACGTTTGAAGACCATCGAGGATATTTATAATATTTAAGGATAAAAGTTAATTTAATCGAAAATAATGTCAGCTATCGCGGACATTCAGTGCGTTCTCGGAGCTGAAAATAAATTTATAATAAAAGAAATGTCTGTAGTGGACACGGAAACATGGGCGTGTCAACATTGGATTTTTAAGAATTCGAGCTCTAAACAGGACAACAAGAGTCGTAGAACGAATAAATGGCTCGAGCGTAATTATCATCAACTATCTTAGGAATATGGTGATGTCGAGTACAAGGAACTCGGTCGGATATTGAATTCACTGAAGTTCGAGTGCATCTACGTGAAGGGTGAGCAGAAAAAACAACTTCTTATGGAACACATTCCACACATTGCACTCGTTAACATTGAGAACTTAGGCTGCCCCCGATTGGATCAAATATGTGGTGGTGATGCGACTCTACCCTGCTGTATTTATCACATAGAATTCAACCCCAAACAATGTACATTTTACAAAGTTTTCACCATACGTAAATGGTTTATAAATAATTCCTAAAGCCTACCCCCATTGCATGGCCACTGGCGGAACGGGATGACTACTAGAGGAATGTCATGGACACTCACGGAATGACACGGTATGGTACGTCATCGCTCGACATGAATTTAATTTAATATTAGTATAAAATTGTTTACTACTACTATATATCATATACATTTAAATAAACATAATACTATTATATAACAATGAATATTATTTTTATTATTTACATAACTCTATAAAATACAATATATATTATATATCACACCACACGTAATTTGTAATGACCATATGCGAGTGTATGTATCCGATCCTCGCTAACAACTAGTTTGTCATCGAAACGATTAAGCGTCTTTTTTAACGACTTAATCGTTTTAACTTGATGTTTAAACGAGCGGATCGAAATATTCACTCTATATGGTGTATACGGAGTGTAGGGTGGTAGTTGAATCGTAGAAGATTGATTATCGTCTGTGGTGGCGGTAGCATTCTGATGGATCGCTTTGATGACGGATTGGAAACCTAAAAGTGCATTCCTCTTCATTTTTCTATCTTTCCGCTCCTCATCGTCACCACCACCACCACCACCACCACCACCACCACCGAAGTTGTAATCAGCATCATCATCATCATCATCGGTGAAATCATTCTCATTAACCTTATCCCTCCCACCATCATCAACGTCATCATCATCATCATCATTATCGTTCTCAAACAGACAACGTTTATGATCATCAAAGGTAAGGTGGTTACGGACCACAAGTCCTCGAATACCTTTAGCCACAATCGCCTCCCGCCCAACGATTTTGAATGAGTAAGACTTTGCTCGGAGCGCTATGAATTCAGACATTACTCTCCCCTCTGTTTCATCCTTGAACAATCCCGGTATCCTTGCACGGCTACCTACATAGCACGGATGATCTCTAGGAAGATTCGATGTATCCATACGATTTAGGAGGATTGGGTTGTCAATGGCATCTTTATAAAAATCCTCAGTCGTTATCCGATATACCAGTGAATCTGTAACAGTGTATTGTATTGTAATGATCATCTTGTAATATTATGATAATTATTATGTTAGGTTATATATATATACCTGTATCTGTATACATCAACCTAATTTTATCATTATAATGTCGTTGCATGACATTATAATGATAGTCATACATTAACGTTTTACTAATATCCAAGACTGCAAATCCTATGTATATTGGCTTATCGAATTTAATAACCTTGTTTTCTAATGAAACTGCTGTCAGGTTATTGTTATATTGTGTACAGTGTTTAAATGTATGACGGTTAATCAACTTCCTCATCGTTTTAGGAGATGAAACGAGCCTCAAATCGATTCTCCGTCGAACACATTCCATTGTCTTACCTTTACAATAATAATAAAAATATTGTTCATTAGTTATAAGTGATTAATAAATATATTGTTTATATATTTTACCGAATACAGCATTGTTCATGAGTTTATAGAACTCTTTCTCGAAATTATTAGTAGCCATCTTTCGCATCTCTGTGTTTAGGTTAATATATTTGGCTAACCAAGGCGACTGCTTAAATTCCAACACCCTATGTACCTATAAATAAATAATGTGTTAGTCTACTAGCGTGTGATTAAACAAAATAATGAGATAACAATTTAATTAATACACCTTACCTTATCAACGACTAATCCATTTTCTATCGCTTGTTTCAAGTTTAGATAATGAAAGATATATCTCTGTTTCCCCTCAAGTGTAGCCATTAGTTTACACACCTTCGACCCGGGTGGTGTATTACTTCGTGGAAGAAACGGTAAGTCATTATGTTTGTCATGTAAGGTATCAGGATAGCTTATATCCACATCAAAGACACACCCCACTTCAGACGTATCATCCATTTCATCCAATAGCTTTAGTGCTTGATCCATATCACCGTCCAACCACTTGAACCCTCCATACGGCATATATTGACTCATAGCCCACCCGTAGAGGTTGTTACCTATAATCATTAAAAAATAATGAAACTCCTCCTCCAATAGAATACTATAATAAAAATAAATAATTACAATCTTGATACACAAGCCATGATGGTGGTGCTCTGTTATCATATCCCTCCGTTTTTGGATTGTTCACTTTGCAATAGCGTTCACTGGCTTGCACTAACCCCCCTCTTATTCCATTCTCCATCATCAAAATCATATCGTAATCTGTTAACAACTCCAAGGATATTGAAGTATATTTCAACATACAGTCGAATATGAATCCGGGTGCAGTGAAATAGTATGCTGGATCGAGATTATACGTTTTCATACATATATCACGGAAATTTTCAAAAATGTCCGCAAGTAAAAGTACATCGATTTTTAAATATAAATCACTGTAACCGCCGAGTGATGTACAGTTAAAGTGATCCCACACCTTCGTAGCGTGACAGTAGTCCTCGTCACTGACATGTGTTTCCGTTAAAGCGCTGTAGAAATCAAACTTTGATGGGAGGGTAGATTCCTCGAGTTTAGACCATTTATCACAATATTCATATGGGAACACCCCCTTCCGTGTGACTAAGGGCATATCCATAGGTTGAAACACTTTGGCGGTCTCTAGAAACTTTTCCAGATCGCTTGTGGTGAGGTTCTTCGCTAGAGACTCAAGGCTTGAAGCCATGAACCTACATGAGTCTAAAAACCTTATAGTGAAGTCATCATTCACACGTTTGGAGAAAGATACGTAGTTCTCCTCACTATTCGGTATTAAGGAAATCGTGTTAGTGTCATAACCGAGTTCCGTGACAATGAAATGCGCATCATATGCAGATAAGTTATGCATAAAACAGGGTACAAAGTCAACTGTTCTGAGATTTAAATTACAATTGCTGCATAATGTATATCTAAAAAGACCTGTGAGATGATTGTGATCTGCTACTTTAAGTATTTTCCCACCGAATGATGTTTTACAGAAATCACATTCACTCTTAGAATTATGTATTTGCCGTTGTTCTTCAGTCATCACAATCGGTACGTTGGTTGATTTCAACAACTTACTCAGTCTATCAGCAATCGTAATCAAAGTACTCACGAAATCCTTGGCCACAGTGTTATCTGACTCTGATCCTCGGAAAATAACTGGAGTCTGTGGGATGTTGTATTGTTACAGGAGTTCCAACGGTACGTCATCTGATGCCTTCACAAGGAACCCATAGCTCATTGGGGTATGTGTATGTACACCCTTCGTATTTCTCCCTAAGTGTTCAGTATTTTTCTCAAGAAGGGCCTCAAAATCAGCATATATTACGAAAGGTACCCATTGAGCTTTCTCCCACGCCTTAAATTTAAGTGTAGCTCCTTCAGGAGGTAATATTGGAAATATGGGTTTATTAAGTCCACATATTTTCATATGTTGCTCGAGCGCGGCTTTTCCGGATAATCTACATTTTTTAATTCGATCATCGAATCCAGTGAAACATCTTTTACATATGAAAAGGCGACCTTCATGTAGTGTTTTTTGTCTCCTTACTAGTCTCGAAAAATTCGAAATATATGTGTAGTGTGACTGTTCACCACAATCAAGAACTAAAAGATCAAAATGATTTGTTTTTTCTGATTCGACGACTCTTAATGGGTATACAACATCTTGCATTGTAGATTTCACGAATTTCAAACCATATACATTTACTGTCGTGTCATCATTACGTTTTTCAAATATCGAAATCTCTGAAATGGGGGTAGGGAAGCTTAAGCCTGAAAAATCATACCGATGCTCCTCGTTAAAGTAATTTATATCAACCCTACAAGGGTGATTTCCACTAGCGTGTCGTGCTAAAATCGCCCACTTGAAGCAACACTCGTCAATATTTTGTGGGTTGATAACACCCTTTTTTTTTAGAGATACTCTCCGGGAGTGGTATATATGATGATCCACCCATAGGAGTATACTCGTATACGCCCAACAATATACCATCGATGGAAGCTAACGTAAACCCACTTCCTTTCCTCATATATGTATCTTCCTCAGATAATAATATCGCGAAATCATCATCCACCAGGGAACTTATATCACTATATGAAAAAAGCTCTCTCGCTGATGTTTTAAACGATCGATTCTCAGAGGGTAACTCCTTATGTGAATAAGTCGCCTCCAACTTTAAATTATACTTAATCGGTTTAATACAAGTAAAATTATTAAGTTTTCTAATCAATTCAGGTTTTAATGAGTTAAGAAAAGTTTGATATACCATCATATTTTCAACATTACTTCTATAAAACCAAATAGTTGTGCGATTCAGCGAGGAGTCGATTTCATTAAAACCCGGTGTATTACCTAACCCCATACGAGTTTTTTATGTTTAATATTACATTGGTGAGTATTTTTATTCCTCCGTTTACCCGTAGAACTATGAGTGATAAGATCCTGTGGTGTAGGTGGACTAATCACTTTCGATGTATGTGACGTGGAACCTATTATAAATAATAATAATAATAATATAATATTATTATTCTAATATACTGTAATATAATTAATATTCACCTGATAATGGTTGTCTGATTGTATTACCCATTGCTAAATTATACTCTGCACTATATTTAATAAAACCTATTGAAAAAAATAATATTATTATAGTATTAAAGATGCACCACTAGGTATGTAATAATATTCAATTATAAGAAA